GAAATTAATGACATTTGTTCAGCCATTTTACAGTCCATTGTGCGTCAGTAAAAGAAATAATTAGCCATAGTCTGCAAAAGACAGAGGCATCTCTCTCCATTACAGAGACACACAATTAGTCAGATGTCATTTGAGGAGGAGCACTCCATAAGCATGGGGAAGACAGAGCTCCATGATGTTCCAGTTGGTATGAGAGCTGAATCCCCAGCACTGGCATAATTCTACATTATGCAGTAACTGTATGACCACAGGACCTAACTAAGTGATCAAACTTTACACAGGTTGGTTGCACTGTAGTGATTTTATGTATAAAGCACTTTTAAAATGTTGGCACATGAAGAGGTTCAGGAGGACATTGACACCTCAATGTATGTCATGCTTGAGCATCTTCTAAGAAAGAAAAGAACAAGATGTAAGAATTTTGCATTGCTCAGCAATGAAATTGCAAGGCCACATTTTGGATACCACCTGTGAGGACCATCTGGAGTATGGCTGTGATATGTAGTTTAAGGACTGACATACAGTCATAGAGTCATACAGCACGGAAACAGACCCTTCAGTCCAACCAGTCCATGCTGATCATAATCCCAAACTAAACAAGTTCCACATGCCTGCTCTTGGCCCATATCCTTCCAAAAATTCCTTATTCATGTACTTATCTAAGTGTCTTTTAAATGTTGTAACTGTACCCACATCCACCACTTCCTCTGGAAGTTCATTCCACACATGAAACATTCTCTGTGTAAAAACAATTGCCCCTCATGTCTTTTTAAAATCTTTGTCCTCTCATCTAAAAAGTTTAACACACCCACCTCCCACCCCCACCCACCCCACCCCAACCCCCCCAACAACCAGTCTTGAAGTTCCCCACCCTAGGGAAAAGACACCTGCCATTCACATTATTTATACCGCTCATGATGTTATAAACCTCTACAAGGTCACCTCTCAACCTCATTCACTCCAGTGAAAAAAGTGTTTTCCTTCATTGATCCCAGCATTGCCCTTAAGAATCACTGTACTTGCCTGGGACCAAGAAGTACCTGAGGGAGATACTGTTAATAATCATTCTCACATCCACACAGTGGCACTTGATTTCAGATTTCCAGCATCCATAATATTTTGCTTTCGTGGTGGTGCTTCTACTTTGCAGGTCATGGGTTTTTGAGCACTGCACTGGTTCAACACTCGCCATCACATTCCTTTTTTCTGCCTGCAGACTTATTTTGTTAGCCTTTTCTCTTTTTCTTATAAAGGCTGCAATGATGGTTGCCCCCATACACAGTCAACTAGAAGCTACAGGCCTGATTTTAACTCCCGTGTCGGGACCACAGAGTCAGAAAAACTCCTGGCATCACAAACCGGAATCAGGAGAAAATGAGCTGAATAGTCGAACTTTCATTCTGAGGTTCACAGGAGTCAGACCTACCACACTCAGAAAGCACTTGGTGGCAGCCACAAGGGGTCCCAGATGTGGAGGCAGCCCATGGAAAATACCCACCTTGAGGCTTTGACACTTTGCTCTGGCTGTAAAACATAGTGAAGAAGAAAATTATCCCTCACAGTTCATACCCCCTCAACTCACCCATGCCCCATCCATGCCAACCCATACCACTTCATGCCCCCCCTCTGTAATTGCATGCAGATTCAGATAGCCACCTTTTAGGGGTAAATAGAAAAGTATGGGTTTGCATACAATGCAACACTTATTGCATTACTGCAACAAAGCTACATTCTAACACAGAATGTTCGGCACGCACCAACCCCAGGTCCGTTTCCTATAGGTTCCTTATTTGCTTTGACTCAATCATGTATAAATGTTTTCAGACTCATTTACAACATCTTCCCCCAAATCTTTTCCCCTCATAACTACTAAACTGTTCTACATTTATTTAGTTATATACATTTACCAATGACCAACCTCAGACAATCTAGAGATCTCACTATTCTCCACAATCGTGTTTTCTTCAGATTTGGAGGAATGGTAGTTTATTGGATGGCAGTTGTTTGACTTGGACTACCTTCTAGATGTAAACTGAAGGGTCTTTAAGTTCTTAAGTTCCTTATGCAAAGGATTTTAGAGATGCATGTCTATTCCTAATAGATGTTGGTCTCATTCTGGCTTTGGCGGGTGATTTTTATTCTTTGCATTGTGTTGGATTTATGTACATTGTTCATGGTGTCTTCCATGGAGTTGTATGCTTCACATCTTCAATTTGAGTTAGTGGAATTTGGTTGTCATTGTGTCGATAGATCTATGCTGAAGTAGTTAGAATTATTATTTCAATTTCTTTGATATTTTTGGGATTTCTCCTTCTCTCTTAGTGATTGAATTATTGGTGAAACCAGCCTGATTACTTCCTCAATTGTGATTCCTGGAGGTACATCCTTCTTGAAGTGATACCCTTTCGTGTTGCTGGGGAGTCTGCGTCAGATCTTTTGTTCAACCTTGTCCATTTTTAATCACAATATCTTCTAATGGAAGACTTGAATTTAGGGTAGACAGTTGTTCAAAGAACTCTATGGTAATTTGACTCAATTCAGTTGCAGACACTTCCGTTTTCCGTCTATCATTACACATCGTCTTAAGTGATGATGATGGTTCAGTTGCTACCTCTTTGTTTGCATTGTCTTGAACTTTGTTGCAACTTGGAATCTGAACTCTCTTTGGTTTTTATAATAGTGAAAAACATCTCAGCCAAACTACTATAATCATACATTCCCATCTCATTTTCAGAGTGAAACAATTATTATATTAAAATAATTATCCCTGAGGATATTCTGAAGAAGGGTCTCAACCCAAAACATCAACTTTCTTGCTCCTCTGATTTTGCCTGGCCTGCTGTGTTCCTCCAGCTCAACACTGCGTTATCTCTAACTCCAGCATCTGCAGTTCTTACTATCTCTGAGTGATTTTCTATTCCTTAGAATATTCTCTATTTTATTTAGATTCCAATGTAAGCTTACAAACCCCAGCAAAATGTCCTGCTAGCTTCTCCTTGTGACTGTGTCTTTTCCAGCAATTTCTGTGAATATGAGCTACTTTCCTGCAGTAAAAACAGTCAGTTTTAAAAACCTGGGCACCATTTGAGTCTAAGAGATTTCTTTGCACTACAGTGTTTGCAACAACTTTTATTGCCTGGTGTCTATCCTATTCACTGCATTGGCTACCCTGGTGTGTGTTTTATAGTTTTTAACTTCATTAATTTGCTCATTGTTATGGGATCTGAAATAACGCCATAGAGGCTAGTATCCTGTCACCAAATCACCCTTTGTTTACACGTGGAGACGCTGATCCAGCTCCCTCAGAGCCAGCTCTCAGTGTGAACAGGATGTCTGACACTCCTGTTCTTATCTGTCAGGCAGGGCTCCCTGATTAGACCAGACTAACAGCCCCTAACTCATATTCTATGATGTCCACCTGGCTGACCTGTTACAATCACTACAGGATCACATGTTAATTACAGATGAGGAAAACCATTCATTCATCCAGAGACTTCCAAACATCCCCATCTACAGGTTGTACCATACTTTTCTTTAAATGATCGTTTGCATTGAATAATTAATCTGAATAATTTATAAAAGATACACTTCTCTTATTGAGAGCACAACATCCTCCTGCAATTTGTAGTTCAGAACTGATGTGTTTATTGGTGATTGTTTATTTAGCTGATGAATTAAAAGAGTCACTGCTCTTAGAAATTAGTACATTTATGTAGTGAAGATTTGTGTTGGTAATCATGGGATGTCAGTGGTGAGGATATAGAATATCTTTACTGCTTCAGGAACCTCAGGTCAAGCATTAAGTAGTCTGATTAGATGCAGACTGAAGCTCCCTGTATCAACCTTATCATTCCCTCCTTTCCTTCTTTTCTCACTATCGGTCTCCGTTGGATTCAAACCCAGGTTCCTGAAGTGAAAGAATTGCACAATAACTCATGCATTCACGCTATAATCAGAGACAAATTATGTGCGACTGTTAAACTTTTCTATGAGGAAACTACACGTGTTGTTGAGTACACAAGAGAAAGCTGAAGTCATTGATGCTGGCTGATGCCATAATGCATTGTGAACAGAAGTCATCACATCAAATTGTACAATGGTTGCATCCACCTCCTCATGATTAGTTTTTGAAAACATTCCCCATTGCGTTTGACTTGTCATTTTCTCAGCAGGGGGAATGGGAGATGGATCAGAACAAGCTGGCTTCCTATTGCCTTCTCAAGCAGCTTCTTACTTTTAAAGATGTCCTTTGATAAGAAGAGGGGTTTAGCAAATTCCTCATGTTTGTGTGTGGAGGGAGAGAAATCAGAAAAGCCATGTAATGCCACAGGCACAAATGAGAAATTGCATTGCAACAAAACCTAAGGGCTGGGTTTAAACGTAAAGGGCTGGATGGGTGTAATCATATAAGATGCAATGTGTCAGTCCCCCAGTGGTGGGAAAACCTGTCCTGAGTAAATGGCCTTTAGTCAAGGTCCCATGCTATTAATCTCTTTGTGATTTTGTGAGGGAACCAGCCAGCATCAGGACGGAGGGACGTGCAATTGAGTGTCACCTCCTTGCCTTGGCCTCCCACATACATGTTAACCAAAAATTTCACACTGTCATCCCAATCCTGCCCTCGCTCACCTATGCTTCTGGGCATTGCCTTCAGCTGCCAGTGCACCCACTGGCATTGGCAGCCCTGCCAACCAGGGCTGGTGGGATGTTATGGTGGGAAGACTTGGATGGTGTCCACCTCAGTGCTTGATGGGCACTTGATTCTGTTGGGCCACCTCCATAGAACTGTTCGGGGTGGGGTTCCCTGCTAGCCCCCCTGTTGATGAAAAATCCCTTTGCTCAGCAGTGCTTTGGAGGCAAAAATATTAGGACAGAATTTCCCCAAAAGTTTCAGTGATTCTTATCAAGAAAAAAGCTGCAATACATGAAGAATATAGCCCAACAACACATTAAAATTAACATTTGATTAAAGACAGCAAAGGAAGTCACAGGGTCCTTACCTTCACTGCAACTTGCAAAGGGCTGGGTTCACCTGGAACACCAGTCACTTGGCCTTCATACACCTCACCAAAGGCTCCATGTCCCAGGCCCCTGTCAGAGAAATCATTCCATCAACACCAACAATTTTCAACTAATGCAGCATCTACGAACTCTCGGGGAATCAGTTATTGCAATCCCGCCTGTACACTCACTTCTGTTAAAATAAGGCAATCATCAATGAGTAAATGTGGTGATTTGTGAACATAATAATGAATCAGGTTATAAACTCTTTAAATAAAGAAAGGTCTTTCTATGTCTAAAGCATATTGTGCCAAAATGTCACAATCTTAAAGTGAAATGAATGAGTGTCCTTTTGAATGAGAGTGCTTGACAGGCTTGATTACACATGCGTCAGCACAGGGTATTTATAGTCTGTTACATTGAATTCAATCATTTAATTTAAATGATTTGATCATTCAATTTTTAGCACTAAGTTTTTGATTTGCTATTCTTTTACATGCTTAGTTCAGATTCTTGCGTATTTCAGGTTGTTTAAATTTAAGAAATGATTGAATTAGTCAGAGTGGATTGTACAAACCTCTGCATTTAACAACAGGAGGTTGCAAATATTCACTTTAACCCACGAACCTGTCCTGCAATTATTTATAAATATTCACTCACTATTAAATTTGAGAAATAATCAGAATTTACTTATAATAGAAGAAATAAAAGCTGTTTGCGAAGTAATTCTTTACATCGCAGTGCTCAGTTTTCTCTTTTTTTTCTTTTCAACTTGGTGTTTTTCTGCTATTTCAACTCCCCCAGTCAGGACCTTGTGTGTTTACTGACTTGGGCATGTGCCAGTTAAATAGTGACATTGTTATTGTTCTAGAGGTGAGCTTCTTTCACATAAGCTACTGTCCTCCATCTTCTACACAGCATCACTTTGGATTACCACAACAAGAAGAAAACTTTGGAAATTAGACCACTGTGAGGGGACCCAAAATGAATGAGCATACAGGTTTCCTGTTAGGATTCAATTCTCCAAATCCAGTGTTACACATATTATGAAAAAATAATTACGAATAAACCTGATATGATGGTCACAAGGTAAAAATTTAACTGATTTCCGCTAACAATAATGGACCCTTTTGAAGTATATACGCAAAGAATTGTAGAGCATATAATCAGGCTAGTCTACCTATCATGAATAGAATCCCTACATTGTGGAAGCAGGCCATTCAGCCCACTGAGTCCACATTGACCTTCCAAAGAGCATCCATCCCAGACCCACAGTCCTTGTCCATCCCTATAACCTGTGGCTAATCCACATAGCCTGCACATCCCTGGACATTATGGGAAATTTAGCATGGCCAATCCACCTAACCTGCAGGTCTTTGGAATTTGGGAAGAAACTGAAACATCCAGAGAAAACCCACACAGTCACCTGAGCCATGGAATCAAACGCAGGTCTCTGGTGCTGTGAGGCAGCAGTGCTAACCATGGAGCCACCGTTTCACCTGCATCAGTAAGCTCTGTGAAAAGGGTAGCTCATTACTGTGCCTTTTACACATGTCGATGCAATTTCTTTTTAATGTTACAAATATTTTTCTGTTTTGATTTAAAGATGCTATGCAAAATACTCCCCCATTGTCCCTGGTAATACACTTAATTCTAGTAATTCAGTGAGGTTAACAATAAGTTTCCTAACTTTTCTTTTTGTTCTTTTGAATATTTTGCTAGCCAAGAAACTTCTTCAGCCAGAGAGTGGTGAATCTATGGAATTCACTGCCACAGAAGGCTGCGGAGGCCAGGTCATTGAGTGCATTTAAGACTGAGATAGATAGATTCTTGATTATCAAGGGAATCAAGGGTTATGGGGAGAAAGCAGGAGAATGGGGTTGAGGAATTTATCAGCCATGGTTGACTCGATGGGCCGAATGGCCTAATTTCTGCTCCTATGTCTTATGGTCTTATAGCTTTATATCCTTCAACTACTGACCAACTGATGTTTAGAACCAAGTATAGTATTCAAAAGTGAGGACTTTAATTTTAATTGATCTTTAATTTCTACTTTCCTCTACTTCCAGGAAATCAGAAAGCAGAAAACACTGGAAATATTCAAAAGGTCAGGCAATGAAACTGAGCAACTTTGAAAGTATTGATTAAAAATAATGAAACCCACATTCAAAACTTCAGCCTTTTGCTGACTCACCGTATGAGCACAATGTTTTTACGGGAAACTTCTTTGAGATCACTGATGGAAGTAGTTTTTCCAGCAAAGCAGTAGTTGGGATTGTAGTCGGTCATGATGGTTGAAGTTCGCAGCTTACTGAGTTTGTAATCAGGGCTTTGTAATTCCATCTGCATGGCTTGCAGTTCTTGGTGTTTGAGGCGATACACTGCAATAAACAGCATTTAATGCAATTATCTATGATACTCTGGTTACCGTACTTAAAGAAGAAGGTATCAACTAATAATAAGGCAGGCTTTTAAATGAAGTAAATGCTGGGATAAGTAAATTAGTCAGGTAGTATCTAAAATAAAGTTAACATTTCAGATCCCTCATCTGTACCTGAAACTTTGGCTGGATTCTCATGTGGGTGAAGGGGATCTTGGTTGCACGTTACAACTACATCATTTTCCTCTTGTTGATCTCATTTGCCTCTTTCTTCATGCTTCCTGGCTAAGTCTCTGCTGGTATTTAAAGGCAGCCTTAAGGGGCAGCTGTAATTTAGCTAAAGACATCAGGAAGCATTGAAAAGTGTCAAATGCTTGCAAGAGATCGAGGGCACCAGCTTGTCAAAAGGGGATTGGTTAGAGTGTTTGGCAGGAAGAAGGGGACACAAAGATTGCTAGGAACAACTTTGTCATTCACCAGATTCCGAGGTGATTCCTCCAAGATAGGCAGCTCTTAAAGAAACATGGATAGAAAGGATTTAAATGGTTTTGTCACAATCCACTAGATGAGTAAAAGGGGTCCTTTCATATTTTAACCCAAACCATGTTCCAAAGGTCTGAACTCACCAATCATGATTCCAGAGAAGGCGAGTAGCAAGGCAGCGACCACAACCGACAACACGACCGAAAGCACCAGGGAGAGGGGCAGGTGGCCCTCGGGAGGTACTAGAAGAGAAGAAAGTTGATAAGAAAGCTGTTAGGAAAGCAATAAGTCATTTCATTCAAATGCTCGTCTTCCATGTTTTCATCCAGCTCTATTTTTGAATCTGTACACAAGTCTCTAATACTGTAACTTGCAGAGTTCTTCACAACTCCCTGAGTCATTCTTAGCTGCACTCACCCAACAGTCTTCAGTTGGATTGTGAGGTTCAGCGCTCTGTTCATTTTTTCCCATCTAAGAAACATCAGCGTTCAGCATCAGTTTGTACGCCACAGCATAGAGTGACATGAATGCCATATATTTATTCTTCCAGAAAATAAGCTGAAGTGTTTTTGACAATGATACTGTTTCAATACATGTTATTCAGGATAAATCTGAAAAGGGATTGAAAAAAAAACCATCTCAAAGCTGATACTCACAAATGCAGGTTACACTGTCAGAAGCCAATATCTTTCCTGATTCACACAAACAGATGAGTTCTTCTTTAATATGGTCAAATACACAGTCATTATGTTCACAGTGGCTACAATTTAAATGCAGCACAATTTCAACCTCCCCATGGCTTTCTGTAACTGTGTAGAGAGAGGAACAGACACAAAAAAGAAACACAGTGTGAGAGATAAAGATAGAGACAAAAAGACAGGCATTCGACTAGACAACACAGAGGCACAGAGGGGAATAGAAAGCTCAAGACTCAGGCACAGATGAAGAAACAAAACCACCAACTGAAAAAGGATTGAGCAAAAGATAGACAATGAGTCCACTTTTCAAACAAGAAACAACTTGAGCCTAATGATTTACTTTCTATGAAGAAAAATACTTGATTTATACTTTGATTATTCAGTGATCTGGCCAAGATCACTTGCCTATATTCATATGCATCCAATTTCCATTCCATTTTGGTTTACTTTCTTGATGCATCTTCAGTCATTTGTCAGAAAAGTCGAATCTCATAAGGAAGAGGTCTGGTGATGCAGCGGTGGTGTCTCTACCCCTTGGCCAGCAGCTTTGATTCAGTCCCATTCTAGAACTTGCTGGCTATGGAAGGGGCACTCTTGATGTGTATCAACACAGGAATTCTTTCACCACAATCCCAAAAGAAAATTGTTTGAGAGGATACACTTAGAAAATGCACCAAGGAACAACTGATGATGAACTAGGGTCTTTAGTTTAAACGTATAATTACCAGTCAACACCAGCTTTACCTAGACTCAAAAATAGAGTATTGGCAATCTTTAAATAACGTCCCAGTGGAAAATCTAGGTTTTTGTACCTTGCATCTAGTTTGGGATAAAATCCCATGAAATATATGACCGTTGTAGAACTGCCTACAGGTCTCACATACCTGCCAGTGGTGGGGTGTAGATTTCACCCAATGGACTAATATAAGAAACACCACAGCCACCATCTTTTTCAGGATGATTATTCTCAGTTGCATTTCCACCTGTGGTTAATAGGATAGGATTCAGTTCCCTTGACATCATTCCATTCATTAAAAAAATTGCATTTCTTTCATAATTTAAATAAAGTTCACTGCTAGAATATAAAATCCAAATACAGACTTTCAGCAACATTACCTGTGCAAGACTGAAGAGGTAAGACTTTACCAAGTAATGACTTTCGCTTCTCAGATACCCTTTGTTTGGTGATAAGTTATAAATATCGCCGCTTGCGCTGCTCTCAGTCAGAGCAACAATAAATGTGATGTCAACAAAAAATAAACTCTGCTATGCTTTGTCTTCCTAATTGCTAACTAGTTGGTAAGGTAAGGTGTCCATTTCAAGGATTTCAAGGAAGGGGAGCGTCATGCTGAGTAGCAGTGTTGACCATGGCTTAACAATCTACTGCTGACACAGAGGACATGACACACACACACACATGCGCACACACATACACACACACACTCATCCACACACACACACACACACACACTCTCATCCACACACACACACACACACTCATCCACACACATACACACACACACACACACACACACACACACACACATACATCCATATACAGACACACATACACACACAGACCCCTTGCACTTTTATTTACAGGGTATACTAAAGATTGAGATGAATGGCTCCACAGGTATGAAGAAAATCACGGGATACAGGTGTAGGGCAGCAAGGTGAAGCTGTAGTAAAAAAGGAAACATGATCTCACTGACAGGGCAGGCTTGAGGAGCGTGTAGCCATATCCTGCTCCTCATTCTTATTTTGTTTTGTTTCCCTTGGTTTTTTGAGGTAATTATTTTCCACATTTAGATCACGGAACACATTAGAACCTTCAAAAGAAATTTTTTGCTTGCAATTATATTCTTAAAATTATAATAGCAACTGCTGGATTATTCTTCTTGATGCAAATATACTATTCAAATGACAAGGATTTGTGAAACAATAATTTTGTTTTTGAAGATAAGATTACATACAAACAATATTAACGAGAAGGCTAAGACTCCTACCATCTGCTCCTGTCGACTGACTACAAGTTATGGGACTGTTACATCACATCCTGTCAACGTGATGAGGTACCGTACATTAAGCTACTTAATATGATAACAGTCCATTGGTGTTCGAGGTGGTGTATTTACATAGTTCTAGGATTGGCTAAATAATAGAAGACAGAGAGTTGGGAAAAGGGGACTTTTTCAGGGTAGCAACCTGTAACTGGTGGAGTGCCACAGGAATAAGTGCTGGGGCCACATTGATTTACAATGCATATTAATGACTTGGATGAAGAAAATGAATGTACTATCACCAAGTTTGCAGCTGACACAAAAGAATGTGGGAAGGCAAGTGTTGAGGATGACACAAGGAGTCTACAGGGGGATATAGACAAGTTAAAAGAATGGGCAAAAACTTGGGAGATGGATATATGTGGAAAAATGTGATGTTATGCATTTTGCCAGGAAGAGTTAAAGATCTGAATGTTATTTAATTGGAGGATGACTGCAGAAAGCTGCAGCACAGAGGGTTTTGGGAGTCCACATCCATGAATCACAAAAAGCTAGTATCCAAGTTCAGCAGGTAATAGGGAAGGAAAGTGGAATGTGGCCTTTATCTCAATGGAATAAATAAACAGTGAAGTCTTGCTAAAACCGTACAAGGCACTCGTCAAGCCACACCTGGAATACAATGAACAGTTTAGGTCCCTTTGTCTAAAAAAAGATATTCTGGGGTAGTCCAGAGAATGTTCACTCAGTTTGATTCTGGTTCAGGAGGGATTTTCTATTGAGGAGAAGTTGAGTGGGTTTGTCTTTACTCTTTGGCATCTTGAAGAATAAGGGGTGAACTTATTGAAATATATAAGATACTTAACAGGCTGACAAGGTAAATGTGGCTCCCCTTGTGGAGAAGTCTAGGACCAGAGGGAATAATCTTGGAGCTTGCAGCCACTCATTTAAGACAGGGATGAGGAAGATCTTTTTCTCTCTCAGGGACGTTAATCTGAGAAATTCTTTACTGCAGAGGGCTATTAAGGCTGTGTTGCTAGGTATATTAGTACTAGCCTAAAAATACTTAAAACCCAGCAAGTTAACTACTTGAATAAACATCAAGACTTTTAACTGCCTTCGACTGGCCTCCAGCACAGCTTCTCCCCACCACGGCTTGACGTTTCATCTGGAAAATGTGACACGGTGAAGGCCCAGATTGGCAAGAACACATGTTGAGAACAAAATTTTCCCTCAAAATGCACACATGCCAGTGTACTCATTTGCTATTGATGCATACTAGTTGCTTGCTACTTTTCTCTCTTACTTCAGAAAACGTACTCTGCTTTTATTGAGTGAAAACTTGAATGTTTACCATCCAATTGATGTCCTCACAGAGAATCCATATATTAATATCCTGGTGAGATTTGGGGCAGAATCAGACGGAAGATCCAGTGGTGTTGGGAATATCTCACACCGTCTTTGCTGCTTTTGATGAGCAGCATTATGAGTTTCTCACTGGACCTTGGAGCAAAAGAAATCTAAAAACTTACTGCATACACAATTAGCCAAACAGAGTAAGATTCAGCTCTATATTACAGGGCCCTCACAATAGATGGCAGCCTTGAAATGTGCTTGTTTGCTGATTTGGGGCCTGTGCAATCTGTTGCACAGGGTCAACAGTCAGGGGTACGCCTCTGCCTGTAAATGTCCTGATTGGAGGTATTCTTTATAGATTTGATCAACATGCCTTAAGACTTTTGTCTCAGGGCTGAATCTTGTTTTTTGTATCAGTGCAAGTTGTATCAGATGTTTTGGAGGCGATTCTCGCTGCTAAACTCAGTGAGATTTCCAGTTATAGCTTACTGAACTCACCTCGTTAACTACCTACCCTGTCCCATGTCATCCCTCACGTCCAATTCTAGCTCCATTTTAGCAAACACCATTTCCAGAATAACTTGCTAGGTACCAGATGTCCACTTGGCATCCCTTGCTCCCTCTCACTATTGTCTGCAATATCTTCCCTCATTGCTCAACATTCAGCTCCTAACTCTTTATATGGTGAGCATCCTGACTCTGCCCAACCTAAATGGTTGACTGACTGTGTCCAAGCCCCTTGTCTGGTATCGGAGGTTATTCTTTGCTCACTCTGCTATGCCTGCTCAGCAAATGCTATCCCTCACTGACAGAGTGCTGAAGACCATTAGCTTCCTGCTTTTATGTCTGCGCTAAACAGCAAGACATGAAAGAAGTTTAAAAAGGGAGTTTAAAACCAGCAGGCCAAATTTTAAGGATAGAGGAAAAAGACTTAGAAGGGACCTGAGGGGCAACTTTTTTCTGTATGAAATGAACTGGAAGAGGAAGTGGTAGATGCAGGTACAGTTAGAACATTTAAAAGACGTTTGGACAGGTATACGAATAGGAAAGGTTTAGAGGGATAGGGGCCAAACACAAACAATAAAATTAGTTTAGTTTGGGAAACTTGGTTGGCATGGACGAGTTGGACTGCATGACTCTATTAGCTGCAGTCTGACTACCTTGCTGCACACTTATTATGCCAGTCATTACCTTTTGCCAGGTAATTTTGTTACAAAGACTGATAAAAGATGAAGGCTGATAAATAGATTTGAATATCTGAAAGTTTTATAAAGAGCGCTAACGTTTCCTATGCCCATTTATTGCAACTTTTCCTTAAATAGCCACACACTATTAAAATGTATCCAGCATTGAAAAATAGAAACATAGAAAATAGGAGCAGGAGTTGGCCATTCAGTCCTTCAAGCCTGCTTCACCATTCAATATGATCACAGCTGATCATCCAACTCAGTGCCCTGCTCCCACTTTCTGCCATATCCTTTGATGTCTTCAGCCCTAAGAATTACATCTAAATTTTTCTTGAAAGCATTTTATGTTTTAGCCTCAAATTCAATGTTTTGGCCTCAAAATCTCATCTTCCATGTGATGTTGCAAGGCAACATTTAAAATGTGCTGACAGGCATATAAATAAAGATGACGCTGCAGTATGTAGATGCAAAGTAAGTTCAGTAACAATCAAACAAGTGGTCATGATGATACAGTTCCAAACTAACATCTGGTCAGAAAATCTACTCTGCTCATCACTGTAATTATGTTCCATTGTGAAACCGTATGATGACAAGTAGTAGAACAGAACCAACCTATATAGCCCCCACCACCTCCTCCTGCTGTACAAGCTCCTCCTCCTCCTCCGAAACCTCCATGTGTTATCCAGCCCCATTTCTTGATGGCCTGTGGGCAGGATTGTCCACCTTCAGCTCCTTCGGTCAGTGATTTGCCAGACCATGGTGGTATAGTGACGTCACTCCAACCACCACCACCCCCTGCAGAGAAACATAAAAGGGAAAATAATTGCAGGAATAAAAGTGGAACCGAAATGGTCTCCATATATTTTATTTGTGGAGCATTCTAAAACAGACAGCGTGCACAATTTCACATCTTTTAAGTTTCATTTCTTTCTAGCACAGTTTTTGTTTACTGCAATTTTATTCCCATTGTGTGCATCATTGTTAAAAATAATCTCAAATTTATCATTTTCCACAGAAACTGCATACTGTGGCACAAAGGTCTATGTACTCAAGAACAAAGAACAAGGAATAGTACAGCACAGGAACAGGCCTTTCGGCCCACCAAGCCTGTGCCAACACATTATGCCTTTCTAAACTGAAAGCCTTTTGCCTTTATGCTGACTGTATCCTTCTATTCCCTGCCTATTCATATATCTGTCAAGATGCCTCTTAAACATTGCTGTTGTATCTGCTTCTATTGCCATCCCCTGGCAGTGCATTCCAGGCACTTATCACCCTCTGTGTAAAACTCTTTCCTCTCACATCACCTTTAAACGTTTCTCTTTTATCGTAAACTTATGTCTGCTAGTAAGTGACATTCCTACCCTGGGAAACAGACTCTGAGTATCCATGCCTCTCATAAACTTCTATCTGGTCCCCCAATCAGCCTCCGCTGTTCAAGTGAAAACAAGTTTGTTCAATCTCTCATCATAGCTAATACCCTCCAAACCAGGCAACATCCTGGTAAACCTTTCCTGTACACTATCCAAAGCCTCGTCCACGTCCTTCTGGTAGCTTGGCATCCAGAATATTGTACGCAATATTCCAAATGTGGCCTTAACAACAGTTCTATACATCTATTATCTGTTCATTCATCTAATTTGCTATCCTATGGTCTTGCTTTGATCACATAGGCTGCCACATTTACCCACCCACAACTGATCACATTTTAAAAATAATTAACTGATTGCTTTGGACATCTGAAGCTGGAAAGCCACTAAATAAGTACAATTGTCTTACAGGCTGATAAAATCACAGATGTAAATACTCTGCTCTGTGCTAAATCAGGCGATGTATGCCAAAAGAGGCATTATAACTGGCCTATAATGGATAATCCATAATACCAGGGGCAGCAACATGGGAACATGTAATGTCTCAAGCCCCGTTTGAAGTTACATACCAGTCCGATTTTGCATAGCATTATTGTTCCTTCTCTGTTGTTGTGTCAGAATCCTAGAACTATCTCCTGGACAGTCACTTAAAAAGGGTCACTGGACTCGAAACATTAACTCTACCTTCTCAACACAGATGCTGTCAGACCTGCTGAGTTTCCCCAGCAGTTTTTGTTTCAGATTTACAGTATCTTTATCGTTGTCTTATTTATCACTGACAGTGTTGTGGGTGTGTCTACACGACCAGCAGTTCAATAATGTGACTTGCCACCACCTTCAAGGACAATTAAGGATGGGTGATAAATGCTTACCCGGCAAGCAATGCCCAATCTCAAGAACAAATCAAACATCTGATCACTGTCCAGTGAGTTCTATGGCACAATGATCATCAGGAGGAATGTTTTGGTTGACAGTTGGGCAAGGACAGGATCCTTTGTAATGTTGTTTGTTCGCTCATTACAGTTTAGCCTTGTGCATTGTAACATGCAAGTTGGATGAGGTAACAAAGGACAGCCAGTGCCAGTTCATCTGGAATGCAAGACAGTTATGTTCACTGATGTGTCACCCCCTCTTATTTTGCCTCCCTTCTTCCTATTATTCAAATGAGGAACTGTCTGGCCTTCATTCAATACTCTGTCACAAGACAGGGGTTAGACAATCACTGTGTGTGGCATTATTGATAGAAATTATTAAAACGACCACTCTTAATGAATTCATTATAATAATCGAATAAGTATAATTGAAACAGTAAATTGTTTAGTATTTCAAATTTCTTTTGGTCTCTTTGACATTTGTTAAAATGAATAGGCAGTGCACAATCAATTTAATGGCTGACTGAGCAACTTGAATTAATTAATGTCCTGACTACAAGAAATGTGCTCTAGTTGATAATCGACCAGGCCTCCTTGTACACATCAGAATAGGTAAAGTAGTTTTTTTCCTTAACTATATCATAAGAAGCATTCCACAATCAGATGCTTTAAATGCTGCATTTATAATAAAAAGATACCTTTGAAAGAATAGCATTTCTCATATAGGGCAATCAGTATGTATGGTGTGAAATTAAAATGTTAGGCTGAGGCAGTTTAAGATGCAGTACAAAAACCAATGCGCAAAATAATTGATAGAAGTTAGAAAACAATAGACAACATCTTTCAAAAGTGTCAGTGTTGTCAGTGAGGTAAAACAGTGTATGTGTGTGCGTGTATGGGAGTTAAAGGTGTGTCAATGCAGCTGGTAGCAAGCTAGTTAGCAGTTGGAGGTGATGAATTTTGGTTATAATTCACCAAATGTATAATTCAAAATTAAAAGATTAAAAGTCAAGCTTTAACAATAATTTAATTGTCAAATGGGTCATGACATCAAAGGATTGTGTTATTCATGAATTTGAAAAGTGAATTGCAATGATTACAGATCCAGACAACTACAGCGGCAGCTTTTCATCTAGTGCATTAATAATTATGGCAAGGGCCCCACTTTAATTGATTCAAGGCCTTCATGCAATTATTTTATTCTATTTGATCCCTTCTTCTGCCCAGAGAATCTTCTTGCTAAAATATGGTTTCACAGGTGCTGGCAGCTTTCAGATTAAGCATTCGAAATGGTTGGTCTTTGAATGTGAGCTCTGACAGTGAAAGAATACATTTCCCCGGGAGTTTTTTTTCAAATCGTAGGCCATTTTTCCAAGATTTCTACAGAATCATCTTAAACTGCCTGAGTCTAACACAATAATTATAACTGGTTGATCAGGTGAGATGAAAAGCAGGAAAATACAGGCCAGTTAGCTTAACATTGGTGATAGGGAAAATGCTAGAATCTATTCATATACAAGAACTCTTCAAAAATCTTCAATCGGGCAGAGTCAACATGTTTTTATGAAAAACAAATCATGTTTGACTGTTTTCAAAATTCTTTGACAAAGGAGAAAGCAATGTGGATGAAAACGGGTCTGTCAATATCATAGAGTCATACAGCATGGAAACAGACCCTTCAGTTCAACGAGTCCATGCCGAACATGATCCCAAACTAAACTAATCCCATCTGTCTGCTCTTGGCCCATATCCCTCCAAACCTTTCATATTCATGTACTTATCTAAGTGTCTTTTAAATGTTGTACATGTGTCCACATCCACCACTTCCTCAGGAAGTGCATTCCACAGGCAAACCACTCTCTGTGTAAAAAAATTGCCTCTCCTGTCTTTTCAAAATCTCTCTCCTCTCACCTTAAAAATATGCCCTCTGGTCTTGACATCATAAAGACACCTATCATTAACCATATCTATACCCCTCATGATTTTATTAATCTCAACCTCCTAAGCTCCAGTGGAAAAAGTCCCAGCCAGTCCAGCCTTCATTTATAACTCAAACTTTCCATACCCGGCAACATCCTGCTAAATCTCCTCTGAACCTTCTTCAGCTTAATAATATCCTTCCTATAACAGGGCAACCAAACTGGACACAGTATTCCAGAAGAGGCTTCACCAATTTCCTGTACAACCTCAACATGACTACCTAACTCCTATACTCAAAGTTCTGAGCAATGAAGGCAACTTGGATTTGCAAAAGGCAATTGAAAACATACCACATCAAAGACAACTGCACAAAATCAGAGCTCATTGATTGGTGGTACCATGTGAGCATAAGTAGATGATTGTTTAGATAACAGGAAACAAAAAGAGTTGGAAATAAATAAACAGTGGAATGCCACAGGGAACGGTGGTGGGGCCACAACTATTTGCAGTCTTTATCAATGAAAGGATTGAACATATGATTACTGAACTTGTTAGTGGCACAAAGATAGGAGAGTAAATTGGGAAGAGGACGTAGTAATTCTGAAAAGGGATATATAAATTTACGGCAGTGAACAATAAATATGGAAGATTGGTATAATGTGGAAAAATGTGAATTTGAAAAGGAGCATATTGCTTAAATGGAGAGAGTTTGTCGAAGTCTGCTACACAGGAATCTGGCTGTCTCGGCATACAAATCACAAAAGGTTACAGAACGTGATTATGAAGGCAAATGAGATGTTGTTTAGTGCAGGAGGAGAAAAAAATATAAAAGTAAAGAAGATTTGCCACAACTGTACAGGGAATTGCTGAGGTCATATCCCGGGTATTGTATAGACTTTTGGAGGCCTTACTTAAGAAAGGACATCAGTGCAAAAAAAAACTGACTGGACTGATTTGTGAGATGAAGGGGTTGTCTTATGAGGAAACATTCGGCCTGCATCTATTGGAGTTTCAAAAAATGAGAAATGATCTTATTAAAACATATAAGAGACACTGAAAGGATTTTTCCCCTTTTGGGGGACTAGAACTAAGGAGTCTTCCATTTAGGACACAGATAAGAACAATTTTTTTGGAATTTTCTACCCCAGACAGCAGTAGAAAAAGAGGCATCTCTTTTTTTAGAGATAGTAGGAACTGCCGATGCTGGAGAATCTGAGATAACAATGTGTAGAACTGGATGAACACAGCAGGCCAAGCAGCA